AAGTGCTTCGAGGATTGGAAAAAACGTTGGCACAAGTGTATAATATCTGATGGGGATTACTTTGAAGGGGACAAAATAGATATTCATGAATAAATAAATAATTTTTGAAAAAACACAAAATTCGCGATAGTTTTTGAACAGACCTCGTATAATAATATATAATATTTTGTGAAATGGTATATACATATATATTTTTCTGAATTTTTGATATCTTTTATATTATTACAAATGCATTTTGCTCCTAAAATGTAGGAACAGAGAATGGATAATAAATTAGCGCATTTAATAGCGCAAATAATGTGCAATAAATAATGTTTTGTATAAAGTAATGTGCAATATTACAAAATATACAATACAAAATATGCAATAGTACAAAATAAATGAAATTTTATAACAAATAATATATGTAAAAGTTTTATTATTTTATATACAATATTTATTTATTATCATTTTTTAATTTGTCACAATTTTTGAGCATTTTTTTAGCATGAATTCAAAATTTAGAAAATAATGCATTTAAAAAACTGGAGGGAATGGCTAAAACATGACGGACCAATCATAAGTGATACCCGTATGGCGTCACTCTGATTGTAGGCTCTCTAGCCGAGCTTAGAGACCCTTTAATCAGAGACTGGTCATATGAGTGCCACTTTCGATTGGTCTAGAATTTTCGTTAACTCTCGCTCATATTTGAAACTCACTAACTTTATCATTATCATAAACGTTATATTTCAGCAATATTATTAAAAATAAACATTTCAGAGGAACTAAATATTAGTTGCGAGATACAGATTACTAAAGCCATCTATTGGAAAAATAATGGATTTCTTTTTACTACACCTAATATTATTTTTCTTCTTTTTATGTACAACATTTTAAAACAATATATACTACAAAATTCTTTATATTTTTTACTTATTGTATTAAAATATGACACACGCACAAGCACGCACGCACGCACACGCGCGCACGTACACATGCAGCTTAAAATTTTTTATTATTAATTTTAACATACTATTATTATGAAGAGTTTCTGCTTGAATTAAAAGAGAATTATTTTAATTAAAATTCATAAATTTAACAAAGGGTAAAAAATAATTATATATAATACTTGTATATTGAAGTTAAAAATACTACTTTTACATAATTTATTTAAAAAAAGTATGTACAGCCATAGACTTACTATCATAACGCTTACAATTATTATTATTATTTTTTATCTATTGTTCTTAATTTAAATATTACAAACCATTTAATTATTTTTATAAATAATTGGTGACATTCCATAATGTGATCTCCAGGAATCAGACTAAATTTATTAATTAAATAACTTTTCCAATCAATATTTTTAGTATTAAAATATTTAGAATAGTGTCGGAACATCTTTTCTAATATTACAAAGATTTTGAACGTTTTCATGTTTACAAAAACTAACAAATTCTTATTGTAACATTTTAAGTAAATAAACTTTGTGAAGGAACATTGTAGCGGAGTATTTGAGTTCACAGAATTTATACAGTTCTTACATGTTTTGCACATTTTTCATGATCGACTTCACAATATAATCCGCTATGTTATACAACGAATTCAAATCAATGGTTGTTAATTTTTGTGTCGAGTTATTTTTAAAAGCTGGAATTGTATCATTACTTGCTAAATCATCGGAATCCATCATAAGTTTATTGTTTCTTTTTCCTGATAAATATTTAATAAATCCTGGAAGATATTCCTGATCATTTTCATAATTATTATTATTTATATGCTTCATGTACATCGCAACAGAAATCAATTTTAAATCATGCATAAATTGTAATATATCTGGTACGTTTTTATGTCGAATTTGCGAAAAAAGATTTTCCATACAATCTTGATTGAATTGAGACATTAAAGCGAATTAAAAATTTTTGTGAGTAATTAGATACTGCGTTAAATCTACGATTGATTTAGTAGTAATAATTATACCTCTTTGCACAGGTTTGAAGTTTCCTGCAATACCTATTTCTAATTTCATAAAAATATCAATAATTTTTAAAAAATTAATATTTTCGTTGTACATGTTTTCATTTTTTGTACCAAGAGCTAATTTGCAATATCTGGATGTTAAAAGAAAAAACATTGTAACATATAATTGTAATATACCAGGCGGTAGTGATATATTCAGATTTATTGTTCTCATCTGCTAAGAGCTGCAAAGAGCTACTCACGTCATTAGAGAAAATGTGTTTGACTTTATTAACCTTCATTTTGTTGAAATTATTGCATCTAACATCATCTGCTTTTAATTTAAGTGTTACAAAAAGTTACGAAGTTAAGAATTATTTTGAATATTTATCAGTTCGCCAATATGTTTTAATTCAATTTTATCGCAAAGTAAATTATATTTTATAATAACATCATTAAAGACAATGATTATTCCATTACTAACTAACGCTTGTTTCAGATTTTTCAAAATATGTGATGAGTCGACAATTATATATAACAATCGATTATCGTCAAATGGATGTGTAATAGAGTTGCTTATTTCATTAAATCTACCCGCACTTATTCCTAATAATCTTCATAATCTCATATTCCCAGGACCCATGTCTGAGGTGATAAAATTAACATGAAATCCTATTTTTTCTGCTTTGACAATTATCTGAAAGATAATATCTTTTAAAGTTTTACAATTAAAACTATTACCAGTGAAATGGTATCCTATCACATGTTTCCATTTATTGTGTGTGCCAACAAGCATAAACACGAGAGCTTTTGTTGCTCTACCTGTTTCTTAGGGAAATGTGATGTTTCCTATTAATAACTCTGTTGAGGAGTTGTAAGATCTTTTGGGTGTAATTGTCATTTCATCAAATATCAAGTCACATTCCAAATCAACTTCATTTTCAAAGTGAGATTTCTAATGTGATAAAAATTTGAAATTTTTAATGAAATTCCAGATTCAAATTTTAAATCTTCCAATTTTCGTCATAGCGTCCGTAAGTTTGGTAACGGTATCCTTGTTGAATAAGTGCATCATACCGACCACAAACGACGATTACGACCACAAACAAATTTTATTTGTAGAGCACGTTGTATAGTTTTATGAAACCAATTTTGACACTGCTTCTTTGTCATTAAAAGTCTCGATTTAATCTTCTTAAAAATTGTTCTTAAAGCTAATTTTAACTTATCGTTTTTAATCTCAGTTTGTAACGTTTGTATTATTTTTCTTTGAGCTTTCATTTTCCTTCTCATATAAGGTGTAGTAAAAAGAAATCCATTATTTTTCCAATAGATGGCTTTAGTAATCTGTATCTCGCGTTGTATAAGTGCGATTGGGTTACGCTAGATGGCGTTAGAAAGATAAGATTTCGTACTAAAAAAACTTCTCAGACAATTTTATGATTGCTTGACTCAGTATTGTTTGAGTGCGCATCAAAGATGGACATCAGCAAAGAGAAAATACGCCATATTTTACAGTTTTTCTTCGATAAAGGCGAAAACGCAAATCAGGCGGCTGAAAATGTGAATAGTGTTTATGGTCCTGATACTGTAACAGCCAATCACGCGCAATTTTGGTTTCGATTCCGTTCCGGTAATTTTGATGTCAAAGATGCATCACGCTCTGGAAGGCCAATTGTCGAAAATGTAAAATGTTTTTTGCCAATAGGGACGAGGGTTTCTATGAGAGAGGCATAATGGAATTACCTTCAAAATGGCAACAAGTTATCGAACAAAACGGTGCATATTTGACCTAAATCGGATCATTCTAACTATACTAAATAAAGCCTTCAATTTCATGCAAAAATAATGGATATCTTGTTACTACATCTTATTTTTACAATGTGTAAATATTGTTTTTTAATAACTTCTCTTTCTTTACATTCGTCACTTTTCTTTAAATTTGTACAAGTCACATGAAGATTTAAAAATAATTATCTGAAAAATAAATTATCATACAATGTCATAATTTTTTGTGTGTCATAGCATTATTACTTGATGCTTACCTCATGTCTCACATCTTGGCTGTTGTTAATCAATTGATTACTAGAAATATTATTATCTGACACATTATTAGCGTCATTAACTTCAGCAAACAACAAAGACTCGGAAGTATTCATAACTGTCTGAAAAAAAATGTTTAATGTCATATAAATATATTATGATTTTTCATTGTAGCATTTTTAAATTTACTTCACATTCTGCATGTAGACTTTCATTGTTAATTGATAGATTATTATCCACCACGTTTTTCTTTTTAAAAAATAAACCAAATATAGTAGGAATTGCATCGTTTTTTAATTTTTTTTTCCCATCTAATCTTTGTTGCCACATATGAGGAGTAAAATGTATCTGAATAATCAAAGAGAACACTATTTAGTTTAATCATAATTGCTCATAAAAAAAAATACATATATATAAAAGAATTAATATTAAAATTATTATAGTTATCTTTAGTTTTTTGAAATGTGTGAATTATAATACACAAATATATATACATATATACATACTATTCTAAAAATAAGTATGACTCGACATAGAATGTGTTAAATTAATAATACGTTCATAATTTTTCTAATTTTGTCATTGTTATAATTGGTACTTAACTTCACAAAAATATGAGTTATTCGTCAGCATCCAATTTTTACGGTCAACATTTTTCATCCATATTTCACGGCGTTCACGAAATACGCGTTTCTCGGAAATACTTTCATTGTGTAGTCCTTTGATGAGGAATTATTGCAAAATTCTGCGCAACATCCAACCATTTTTGCATAATATCACGTTAATCACGTTTAGCGTGAACATATGTATACATGTACGCATGCGCGGATGAGAGAGAATAAGTGAACAGCTTATGTTTTTGTCTCACTCGTAGGAATTTGACAAAATCTTATGGCCAGTCTCTGATTAAAGGATCTCTAGCCGGGCCGGTCTGGCATGTCCAGCGTCTTTTTTCTTCATGTTTCTCTCAAATGTTTGTTTGAAGTCCTTCAAATGCTTCGAGTGACAAGCTTTGTGCTTAAGTGATCCTTGCATCATTTTATTATTTTTGGAAAATGTTGCCGACTTCAACTGTGCTTGGATCGCTTGGATATAGACTGGTCAAGTGAAACCTTGTTGTGAAAACCAAGGCCATTAAAAGACGAAAAAGAAGAAGCTTCGAGTGACAATTGTGAACTTGCAGTTAATTAATGTTATTTGTGCTGCATTTTCTTGATAAACAAAATAGACAATGCCACGTAAGTGTATTGCGCCTGGCGACAGAATATAAATCCAATTCTGAAAAGGTGCCTTGTTTCTATGTGTCAAGTGATGAAAAAATAGTTAAATTATGGTAAATGGCTTTGAAAAGAAGCATTCTGGATCAAAAGAGTACTCTGGATAAAAAGAAGGAACAAGTGGTGTGTGCGAATCACTTTTTATCAGAAGAAATTCTTTGAAATTTTTTCTATCAGAAAAAAGATCTGCTTTATAATGGAAAGATAATTGGTACTATAAGTAACATTTGTACATCTTTGTTTCTAATATTAAATTATATGTTATTGCTCTTAAAATATATTGTTTGATTTTAGAATGCTTTGTACAAAGTTGCGGAAAGAAGCTGTATCAATTTCCATGGACAAAGACGACAGTAGTTAAACCTTAAGAACCGATAATAATCGAAGCAATCAATTCAACAGATATAAATTTTGAAAATAAAGAATGTGACATTCATGCCGAATACATCAGAACAAACAGTACAAAGAACGACGCTAATTATGTCAATGAAAATGTGATGCTTACTTTTGATATTTTGACAGCGGATGAGGCTGTGTTAAACAAGACATTTCATGTGCCAATCAATTGGGAATATCGGATTGTATTCTGTGATAATGCAAAAGCTATTATGTTTTACATGTACAAATGTCTGTCTTTAAAAAATTTCTCAAAAAGGTTTACGCTAGAGTTAGTAAAGGAGTTTTTCTTCTCAATGATATGAAGCTGATAGTAAATGTAATGCGAAGGCCAGTGGTTGAATTTAATTTACTCGATATACGATATGTGAGCGCATCACTCAAAGATTTGAATGAAATACTCTTTCAAATAGATAACTTAAATATTAGGTGTAGTAAAAAGAAATCCATTATTTTTCCAATAGATGGATTTCTTTTTACTACATTATAATAATATTTGCAAAGGTGCCATAAATGTCAATGACAATGATTTGATAACGTCCAATTATGCTTTGGCCTACACAGATTCCATTGGAACATGGCGACATAATAAATATTCGCTGTTAGTGGCTGATTCTGAAATCTGTCCATTAGTCTGAATGTTAAAAGATTGATTCAGCGAAAGAAAAGGCGTCTCAAGGTACATAGTAAAAAGAATTCGATTGGCAATGTCTTCGCCACACAAAAAGAAAATAAGTTATTTGCGAAGATAACTTATAATAACTTGTGTTCTTCTTCATGTATTTATATGTATATATGTATTTTTCAGATTTGTCAAATAAACTCAGACTTGTCCTGAACTCGAAATATAAATGTCATTGTCCTCTTTATTACAGTGATGGGAAAAAGTTCCAGAACGGTGAAGTATTTTAGCGAATTGCATTTTTTTGGGAAAATGTTAAATACAGAAGTTTTAGGATTTTTCCCTGGCTATCTAATGGTGATACTGAATTCGATCTTGACTACAACTTTGAAGGTCATTTCAAAGTCAAGTTCACTTTTTTAAACGGGAACCACTATTTTTTATTACGGATTTGGAAAGAGCGGGAAATTTTACGTCAGAACATGACCTTGACCATAATCTTGAAATCAACGTCAAGGTCATTTCAAGATGAAAGTTCCAAAAGTCCTGATACGGCAAGAATATCTCGGCGAAATTGCGGGAAAATGTTCAATACGAAAGTTTCATGATTTTTTCCCTGGTTATGTACGTTGTTTGTTTAGCACACAATTTTAACATCTCTTAGCCATTTTTCAATCTAAAATAAAAAGTATTTTTCATTTTTACCACGTGGAGGTAGATGTTATATGTACAATTTATTTTTTGCTCAGTTTATCTTTTTGTGTCAATTGTTGACGCTTACGTTCTACACGGAAAGAAGTTGCCATATTGTAGATACAGACCGTGTCCGGCGCATGGCGAGAGATGTGCCGCTCCTTCCCTCGAAATTAAACCACTACCAAGACCAAGACCACTACCAAGACCAAGATCACTACCAAGACCAATATCACTACCAAGACCAAGACCACTACCAAGACCAAGATCACTACCAAGACCAATATCACTACCAAGACCAAGACCACTACCAAGACCAAGATCACTACCAAGACCAATATCACTACCAAGACCAAGACCACTACCAAGACCAAGA